AAAAACTGACGTGTCAACTACAGTGATTTAGTGTGGTCATGGTTCCTGGAGTCTTATGTGCTGTGATTCATTGTACATAGAGAGTTAATCCCTTGGCTGCTGGAGGTGAGGGTCCATCTTCAGCAACGTCATGAGGTGTCATCAGTCAGTCCGGAACTAGAGTTCAGAGCTGACCAATGTAAATTCTGTAAAAAATATGCTTTTTGTGCAGTGTACCATTCATTGGTTGCAAGCCATCAACTGATGATTTCAGCCAATTAATAGTGATTGTTTTCAACAAAAGCACCGTCAGAGCTACAATGACCTTCGGAGCAAGTAAGAGGGTTGTAGTGATCCAAGTAAGAGGGCTGTAGTGATCATGATGCTTGGAGTTATCCTTTACCGCCAATCCTGGATACACATAACCCTAGCCAAATAATTCCCGAATAAACCTAAATAAATAAATAAATCACAAAGATTAGATGAGCACCACCATATTGCTACCCATAAATCTCAGCAGCAGACAAGTAATAATAGGATGTTTGAGGACCAATGTAGAGCTACCATACTTCTACTACTTCTATTACTTCTAAAAGTATATCTTTTTTTTACACATTACTTGACAACATTTTTAATAAATGTCCCTTTTTAACCTTCATTGTGTTATATAGAGAAAGAAATTGTATAGCCTTCTAGAATGCCAAGGGTTAATTCTTGGGCAGGGTCTCTCCTCCCTTTCAATTCTGCCAGACTCTTTCAGACAATGATAAAGAATAATAGAGAATAATGGAGATATACAAAGCAATGTTTACACCTTTTCTGGGAAAATTGGTCTTTCTGTAGGAACTCCTCCCAATCTTTTAAAATCACCACAGGAAGAGTAATTGAAAGCATGATAAGCTGATTACATTAAAGCAACTTTTCTCCTCTCAACTGAAGTGCCCACTTCACAGGTGATAAGAGCCCAAAGAAAGACAAAATGTCATCAACAACCATTTCTTTAACATCCTGTGCTAGACCACAGACTATTGCGTACAGGAATTTAGTACTGTATATACAATTTTCTCTACATTAGTGGGCAGGTAACTGTCTTTTATGGCAAGAACGATTTGTCCATCTAGTATAAAGGGTTACCACTACACCATATATAGGATTGGGTTGCACACAGCTGTTTAATACGAAGCATCAGTATAATTATTTTTTTCTGATTGCTGCCCAATGCATAGACAATATTATTCTTATTCATCTAATATTTAATCCCAACCTGATTTAATAGCATGTCATGTATATTCAATTTATAGGAGATTTATATCCGTTGCCAATTTTTAATTTAGTAGAGTAGAGGGTGTAACACCTACTAAGTTCTACTTTTACAGGTAGCAAGTAGAGAATCCCACTAGTTGTGTGAAATAAGTCACAAAAATGTGATGCAGTCTCGCCAGGCAAGTGTGCTGTCTGGAAAAGTAACCCATTAATGCCAAGACCTATTTTTCCCATTTAAGTCAGTCAGCATTAAATGTACAGGAGGAGGGTAATTTAAAAAAAAGAAATCAGTATGGTAGGGATCATGCAAATAGCTTCAACCCATTCTTCCAGCCTCCGAGCAAATGGGCTTCAGAGTGAAGCATTCCAGATAAAGTTCCATGAAAAGTCCCCTTTCTCCACTCCCTGGCCTGTGTGATGGAGGATAACGCCAAATGATCACTAGACAAAGGCTAGCCCACAACATGGGTCTTAATATTGATAGGATCAGACCACGTCTTCAAAAACACTGGTCCCATTAAAAAAAAACAGAGTACTGCCATTGTAAGTGATCCTCAGTAAGCAAACCCTGACCTATTTTCTACAAAAGTATTTTTTTCTGAACCACACCTATTTCCAATCACAGCATACCCCAAATCACCAATCTATAAAATATTATATTCTTGATAAAAGAAATACATAAAATCTTAAGATGTCAAAAATCAAATCTCAAATTAGGAAGGGACTGGTTGAATAAGTTCTTAAAGGGACACTATAGTCACCTGAACAACTTCAGTTTAATGAGATTGTTCAGGTGAGAACTATAGCTCCCTGCAGCCTCTCTCATGTAAACACTGTATTTTCTCAGAAAATACAGTGTTTACATTGAAAGCTAGGAACACCTCCAGTTGCAGTCACTCAGAGTGAACCAGAGGGACTTCGAAGTTGATGGAGGCATATTCATTGATTCAATTCATCTCTATGAGGAGATGCTGATTGGCCAGGGATGTGTTTGAATCATGCTGGCTCTTTGTCAGTCTCAGCCAATCTTATGGGGAAGCACTGAGATTGGATCAGGCTACCACATGTCAGCAGACTACTTGTTTTTCTGGGTCTAACAGCATGCAAATTTACAGCTTCAGGCTTGAATACAGTAAGATTTTTACTATATTTATGGAGGCATGAGGGGCTAGATGGTGGTGTTAACACTATAGGGTCAGGAATACATGTTTGTGTTCCTGACCCTATAGTGATCCTTTAAAGGTAAATGTAAGAGGGGGGCAGAGCCTGACAGCCAGCTCGATAAGAAGCCATTTCAATTCGCTCTCCGATAGCCCGGCAAAATCGGAGGAATATCCCCCTACTCAGTGCCCATCCGACCACGAAAAGCACCTACCTGGCTCCACAAAGGTGAGCCGAGTTGATGGATGCCTTTCTTCCAGGCTGTCAAGCAACCCTGGCAGCGGTGCAAATCCGCAGCCTACCGCGCAACGCCACTCCAAAGCCTCGAGGCGCTTCTAGGCGGACCAGGAGAGGGTTGCAGCTACCCTGCGTATTCCCCGCCTAACACGGCCATCGGCACACCTACTATGGCTCGCCTCACGCCAAAGCCCGCCACCGCCACCGGCAATCAAGGTAGGGACATTGGGGAAATGATACTAGGATCAGCACAGCCCGAGCACGCGGACCACCCGCCAAATATGTGCTCCACTACAGAATCAGAAAGAGGGGCACCCCCGAACACGCAGACCCCCAGGCTGAATGTACTACCACCCCAGTATCAGCAGAGGACATAGCCCCCACCACTAAAGGGGATCTGAAAGCACTCCTGGTGGATATACAGAAGCTACTAGCTGATGTAGCCCTGGTCAAAAGGGATATACAACAGGTCTCTGACTGAGTTACAACCACAGAAAAAGACATTGTAAACGTCCATACTACTGTGACCACCTTGCAGGACTCAGTCCAACAACTACATGCAGAGCAACAAGTACTGGCGGCGCAAATAATGTCTCTTGAAGACAAGCAACGCCGGACTAACATCAAAATCCGAGTACCCAACACAGTCACTACTGAAGAACTGCTGCATTACATTTGGCGCCTTCCATACTGTCACAACCGGTCACAAAGAAAATCACCCTAGATGGGATATACCGTGTGACAAGCTCTTTCCGCGTCTCACCCAACACTTCCCGGGATGTCATACTACGCTGTGTAACAATACACGACAAAATACAAATAATGTCAGCCTTAAAAGATAAAACACCAATAGAGTTTGAAGACTCCCAGCTCTTATTTTGCAAGACCTCACCAGGGCAACATGACTCCGGAGCAAATCCTTTGGAACAGTGACTACTACCCTGCGAAAAGTCAACATACCATACAGATGTAGGAATACAGGCTCTCTACTTGTTCATCACAAAGGGACTGCTTACAAACTCACCTCCCTAAGTGGAGCATCTGCTTTCCTGCGTGCACTGGAACTTCAACCCACGCAGCCGCCCTCAGAGGATGGAAACCGAACCGAACCTTGGGACCCTGAAGCCAACAATGCTACAAGACCAACGACGAGAAGCCCACAACTCCCAAACACCTGAAATCAACCAGGAACTGAGACACCCAGAGGCGCGGTCCGCCACGTGGAGACCAAGAATACACTAACCACAATGTTTGTTTATATATACCTTTATTTTATATGTTGATCTTACATTTATGTAATTTGCGTTTACACACAACGTTTATCAAACACACGAGGGGACACTCATACCCCCCAAACAAAAGAGTCATATGGGCTAAAGCATGTACAGCCTTGCAAGGCCCTCCTCCAACACAGAAACCTGAACCCCCAGGCTCCCTAGAGACCAAGTGGCGTTTTACTAACTTAAACCACCAATCCCTACACCCCCAATGCCACACACAGGGTTAGGGGTCACAACTAGAATGCAATACCATTACGTCTGTAATTTGAAAACGCGCCAACCAATAAACACACCGCCTAGTCCAGTGCACTACACACGGTACCCATCCGACACACAACAGCTGGCATTCACCAAGCACGCATACACTGACATGTCATGTCACACACATATGCTCTGGCATACCCCACACCTTCTTGATGACAAGCATACCTAACACTCCAAACCTGGAGTATCCCAGGAGCACAGCATGTGCTAATTGTTAAACATGTTCAACTCAAGTTTGTCTACCTGTCAACTACAATGTTCTACAAAATTGCTAACCATGTATGCTAACCTCATATGCCTGTCACCATGTGAAATATTAGATTGCCTTGAAATGTATGATGTATCACAACTGTTAAACCAAGCATGACAAAATAAAGAATTTTTTAAACAGTAAATGTAAAAAAAAAAAAAAAAAATGTATTTCAAACCCTGTTTAGTAGATATACCCCAATAAAACATGCAGACATTTAACTATGGATTTTTTTTTCATTGAGGTTAAATCTAAAAACAGCTCGCAAAAGTTGCAGATCTCTTGTATGCAGCCTTTGCAAGCCCTCCCATTCTAACCCCGCCCAGACTTTCTGTGGCTGGCTAATCACAAACTTCTCAATGCAGCTCAATGAGAAGTCTTTGCAAGGCAGGTACTCTGAGCAATTGCTGCCTCTTGAGTTTAGCTCCACTGAGTTAAACAACCAGGAAGTAACAGAACCAGTTTTCTGATTGACAGCCAGGTTAATTTATAAAAGTGCCAATTTCAAATAAAATCTGTACTTTTTATGAAATAAAAAAGGGGGCGGGGCGGAGCCAAGCAACGGAGCTGAATGGCCGCATGTTCGCTGAACTCCAGGCCACCAAACAAATCACCAAGCGATTGAAGTGGTCTTTCACACCCCAAAACCAGGCTAACTGAGCCCACAGCACACCCTCACGCTATGGGGAGAAAGACCAAGAAGCCAAGGGCCGAGAAACCGAATATGGGCATGAACATCGGCAATCTATGGCGCCAGGCCCGGAGGGGAGCAGAGCCCAACATGGCTGACCTCTCAGACGACTCGAAGATCTCAGAGGATTTCTCACTGGGAACACCAGGAGGTCAGACGCCTGAGCAGAGAACCAGTAAACCCACAACCCCTCACCTAGACTCGGCCCCGGTGACGACGGCAATCATGAAGGGCCTCTTAGCGGAGCTCCAACACACGATCCAGGCTGACATGGCCCAGCTCCGAGGGGACTTACAAGGCCTCATGACCCGCATGGGTGCTATAGAGAGTGACACCCAGAGACAGGCCCAACACACAACCCGTCTTCACACAGCCATACAAGAGCTAAAAACCCAACAAAACGGATAAAAAGCTCGCAGAGCTGGAGGACCGGAGGCGCACATCGAACCTCAAGTTAAGGGGCATCTCGGAGGAGATCCCGGAGAAGGAACTACCACACTTCCTACGTCGACTTCTCACAGGACTGCTAACCCATAAGCAGGCCAAACAGATGGGAGTGGAGAGTCTATTCCAACTTCACAAACCAACGACAGTGACAAAGACAAAACAGCTCTCATGAACGCAGTCCGAAACAACTCACCATACCCCTTCGAAGGAATGCAACTAATGTTCTATGCAGATCTGTCCGGAAGCACCATGGCGTGGAGGAGGTCACTTAAGCCTTTTACAGTGTTAATCCGAACCAACGGCTTCACTTACCGATGGTGACTGCAATGCGCACTGGAGATACTACACGGCACCGACACACACTCTGTCAATGACCTCAAGGAGGCAGCCGACCTGCTAACTAAGCTGGGACTACCAACAAACGCCCTGGACACAGTGCGATCGGGCACGGCGGCATCCCTGCCTCACACCTGGAATCTGGCAACAACACGTCCCTTCATACCACGGGGAGCGCAACAAGAAGAGCGGGCAGCTGTCACTACCTGAGCGGCTCCAGATAGTCTGCAGAGACAGGCCTGAACTTACCTCACCACTGGAGTTGTGTTTTCAGTTAACTCTATTGGATCTCACTAAACTTTACGTTACCGTTATTCTCTCATGTTGATGTTACCTACCACTTTTAGATCTCCCACCACTCGCACGTCACCACACCACACATAGTGGGGTACTACATGACAAGCCACAAGACCGCCAGGTCTCACCCTCACCACGTCCCCAACACTAGCGCTTTCTAATGATAGCACTTCGGAACTCAGAGCCTCCCAACCATACACCGAGCCAAATCACCCTGGGACTAGAGCCCTTATCTCCACGGGAAATCCCCCAGGGACACACAGCAACAACCCACAGCAGTCCTCACGGGGACCCTGTACACTAACCCACAAACCAGCTATAGCGATCCCGAAATCACAATTGGTACACTTTTTGAATTTTTATTTATTTTTCTCTCTCTTATTTTTATCTATCTTTAAAAGCTTTCTGGGCAGGCACCAATCTAAGTACCCCTATCATGGGCTCAGACGGAGCAGCTCGGGAACCACCCCCGCGAGAACTGACACACAGGCACACCTACCTTGCCCGCGGCAAGACGGAGCTCTCAGCCCACACGTCACATACAGCACTTATACGATGCTACAAGCGTAGCAAGCAAGAGGCCTTCTTGATGCCTGAGCTCCAGCCTAGGGCTAATCTCAGTTACCACCCGTTATCAATCAGCACACAGTCAGACTTGGTTCTCACAACACATAGCTTCCATACTATCAGTTATTCCACACGCAGACGACACAATCCAATATTTTATACATGTTCCTATGTTACATTAAGCTCACTTCTGCATTACAAAATATTAAAATACTGTGCATATGCTCATGCCAATGTTCACCCTGTAACCCTCGTGTGCGCGGTTGTGGCGCTTGACTTTACAATGTACCTACCTGCACAACAAAAAAAGAAAAATTTTACAAAATTTTAAAAGGGGGGTTGGGGGGCACACGCTGTTTACACATGAAGCACTTCAAAATAGGATCAGGAGTGTCCCTTTAACAATAAGGAAGAAGTGACTCCACTAACATCTATCTTCCATGTGAACAAGAAAGAAGTGATTTCATCATCTTCTGTTACAAAACTCACCAAGGAAGAGTTTGATGTATTATTATCGGTCTGTCTTCAATGTCAACAAGAAACTAATGATTCTGCTATCATTCGACTATCATCAACATTGTCAATGAAAACATGATTCCTCTACCATCCAAGTGTCTTCATTGTCAACAAGGAAAAAGTGATTCTACAATCATCTGTCCTCAACAACAAAAAGGCAAAAGTGATCCCACTATCTTCTGACTGTCCTCATCGTCAAGGAAGAAGAAAGACGGGATAGGTGATTCTACTACCATCTATAATCAGTGTTAACAAAGGAAGAAGTGATTTAATTTCCATGTTATTACCCTACTGACTGTCATCACCAACAATGAAGAAGTGATTTCGCAATCTTCTGTCATCACCGTCAACCAGAAAAAAATCATTACATTGCCATCTGACTGACTACACATGCACATTAATAAGGAGGAAGTGATTAAAATTGTATTCTGACTTTACTACCATTAGTCATCACCATCAACAAAGGAAGAAGTTATTCTACAATCTTCATCATTGGTCAAAGAGCAGTGGAATCACTTTTTTGTTGTCTGCTTTCTTCTGACTGCCAGTGTGCATCTTTTTACTACCTTCCGATGTTGCGTCTGAGTAAAGCATATGCAGGTACTAGTCTGGAACACTCCTATGACGTTGCAGGTGACAACAATTCGGTGTTCCACCGGTCGTGCGTCTTTTTTAACACAATGATGAAATGATCCAATTAGGATTAGGCTCCTATTATTTAAACCCCTCCTGCCTGGTTCTACTTGCCCTGTTGTGGTTCTTGTTGGCCCAGTAGTGGGTTCATGTGTATTATCAGTTCTCTGGTTTTGACCTTGGCTTGTTACTCATTTATCATGATCTCTGTATTCCTATTTACTTACTTGTTTACCATTTACTCTAATAGCTCCTGCCCTTCTCCTTGGCTATCACTTTGACTATTCTTAATAATAATACAGAGAATAAAGATTTATATTCCTTTGTTGTGTACTGGGGTTTGTATGTTTGGAGTTCCTAGCTATAACGACATGAGGTGTTATACTTCAGGTGCACTAGTTGTGCAGTGTAACACTGAATAAGGGTTCCTGGCCACTCATAGGCCGCACCCTTCTCGAGGTATAGCTAAGGAAGAGATGATATACTTCCTTCTAATCATACCAAATTAGATCAACAATGGGTGCTGTGATAGTCTGAAAAGCGGTAAGCTGCCATTTTTACGCAAGCAAAATATTAAACAACGTTGAAATGTGAATGGAATGACGACCCTGAAACACCAGGCTTAGCTCAGTGCATGAGCTTCCTGCTGCTGTGGAGGCGTGCTCATGGTAGAACCCAGGTAATGTGTCAAACCAGCCTTAAACAGTTTGACTAATTAAAGTGGGAGGGCACATGGGCACTCCTGGCACAATAACCACTAAATAGGGCTGTAGTGATTATGGTGCTTGGTTTGATCCCATAACAAAGTAATTCACTGAAAGAAGGCATAAGAATATTTGCAAGGCCATGCACTGGTCAGTTTTCCTGTATTCCTTTCTTAACCAAATCCATGAGCCAGACCAGAACCTCCAGTTCCGACCATCACTTCTCCAGTTCTGTGCATTGCAGGTACCATGCCCGCTCATTATACTATGAACCCAGAGAGCGGAAAAAGTTGGGTGGCATCCATATATAAAAGAGGGAAACCAATAGGTACAAGAGGATAAAGATAATCATTCTATGACCTGTACTGTATGGTGGAGTCTCTTTCTGCAACACATGTCCAGTCTCCTGTACCCAATGTGACAGTTATTTGTCACATTAATGTCTGGGTTGTGACATTTTTATGTTTTCTATATGCATGTTTATACATCCCCCCTTTTTTTAGATTACATTATTATGATTGTTCAAGTCTAGAAACTAAAGTGGTATAAATGTAATCTATACTTTTGTTGTAAGGTTATGGCACTTACTGACGTGTGATGATGATTAACTTTTTACAGCAACTAAATTGGCCAGGTGAAACTTACAATAACACTGGAATAGAATGCAGAGACCAGGATTTGTGTCAACATATAGTTGAATAACAATAGTAACTAACACAGCCTATATCTCCTCAAACTTCTACCTTTGTTTTTGGTTTTCACTGATCTTCTCTATTGTCTTTTCCAGGATTAAACCTGAAACCATCTTAAAGAGTCTGATTCATTCATTGGAATAACTTCTTTAATACACTACTTTGTGTGAGAACCGTAAGCAATCCTTTAATTTCAATGTGCAATTGGAAGCCTATTTTCTTCAACTTAAGTGTAAACCACTCTCGGTCAGCGTCCCATGATCTGTACAGCTGGAAGGCAACTTGTCCAAAGTATCTTAGTGAACACAAATAATTTGTTTCCCTAGGACTGTCGAAACACTAAGGATGGGACATTTAACACCTCATTATTTTCCAGATCCAGTAATCTCATATAGAGAAAAATACTGTTGAGATCTTCCTAAAGACTGATATAACGATATTAATACCTAGCTTGCCAGCAGATAAGGAGAAATAATAATATTGAATATTATATAACATAATATTTGCATGCAGTGGATATGAGTGAGATGCTTTGCATGCAGATCTTTTGGATTTGTTAATATACTTTGCTCACGGCATTCAGCCAGGAAATGCTACAGAGTGAGCAGCAGGAAAATGACAGAAGCACTCTCTGAAAGGGGACTCCTACTTTTAGACAACTCTGACTAATTCCTGACCACTCAAACTCATTTTGCATACATATATCTTCCAGACAGGAGATTGTCAACATATTTACACCTGTTTCTGACATCAGGTGTCACATTCATGGCTCTGAAGGAGGACACAAGAAATGTACTGGTCGTCGACGGATAACCCAAAACAGTATGCCAATGAGCTAACCTTCTAGAAGGAACTAGTGCTATATATTGTCTATCTGATGCAGGGAGTTTATTGTATGTGAATGGTTAAAATTTTGAGTTGTGTTCAGGGCCGGCCTTAGGGGTGTGCGAGCTGTGCGACCGCACAGGGCGCCATGGAACAGGGGGCGCCCTGTGGCCGACACAGCTCACTCATGGCCGGAGTGCAGGGGAGCTAAAAGAGGTACCTGGCTGGAGGATTAATTGTTCTCCACCCAGGTCTATTTAAAAAAAAAAAAAATCGCGGCAGAGGGGGCGGGGTTTACCGAGCGGCGGAGGCGGGGCTTATCGAGAGGCGGAGACGGGGCTAATACCTCCCGAAGCCCCTGCTGTACAGGAAGAGGGAAAGATGCTTCCCCATCAGCCAACTGCATCCACTGGAAAGAGGTAAGTGTGTGTGTGTGACTGTTTGCCTGTTTGTGTGACTGTCTGTCTGTGTGTGTGTGTGACTGTCTGTCTGTGTGACTGCCTGTCCTTGTGTGTGTGTGTGTGTGTGACTGTCTGTCTCTGTGTGTGTGTGACTGTCTGTCTCTGTGTGTGTGTGTGACTGTCTCTGTGTGTGACTGCCTGCCTGTGTGTGACTGTCTGTGTGTGTGACTGTCTGTCTGTGTGACTGCCCATGTATGTGACTGCCTGTGTGTGTGACTGTCTGTCTGTGTGACTGTCTGTCTGTGTGACTGCCAGTGTGTGTGACTGCCTGTGTGTGTGAGACTGTCTGTCTGTGTGACTGTCTGTGTGTGTGACTGTCTGTCTGTGTGTGTGACTGCCTGTGTGTGTGACTGCCTGTATGTGACTGCCTGCCTGCCTGTGTGTGTCTGTCTGTAACTATCTGTCTGTGTGTGACTGCCTGCCTGTGTGTGTGACTTTCTATCTGTGTGACTGCCTGCCTGTGTGTGTATAACTGTCTATGTGTGTGTTACTGTGTGTCTGTCTGTGTGTGTGACTGCCTATGTGACTGTCTGTCTGTGTGTGTCGCTGTAGCTGTGCCATTGTTTGTGCCTGTGCCTGTATGTGTGACTGCCTTTAACTGAGTGTGTGTGTACATGCCTGTAACCGAGTTTAAA